GCGCCATTGCTCCGGGGAGGAAGAGACTAGTGGGAGGGGGAGGCTGCCGAACTGCGCATGCTCGAGCATGCGCAGTTCGCCCGGGGGGCGGGGATGCCGCCCCTTCCGATTGAACCACCCGGTTAGGTGGTTCTTTTTTGGTGCGCCTTTTCGGCGGAAGGGACGGATGGGGGACGGGCGCAGCACGATTCCCAGATGTTGTTGTGGGATCGTGCCCGTTTGCTGTGGCCTCGATCCGTCCTTCTCCCGGCCCAAAACCCCTCGTGTGAACAGGGCCATAGTACCCATATGGTGCAGTGCTGATGTAACAATGACAGTGCAAAAGGACTTGAGGAGATAATACCCATACATTGTTGCTATAATGTCAGAGGTCACAGAAAGGGAATTTTTAAAAGATATTACAGTACAAAAGGACTTAAAGAGATAGTGCCCATAGGCAAAGAAATAGCACAACAAAAATTTCATAATGCCCTAAAAACAGGCAATAAAAAAACAGAACAAATGTTATGCAATACCCATTTATACAGATTGCCAATCGATTTCTTGATTTAATCCATGTGGTATTAAACTATTCAAAGCATAAATCCAGAAGGTTTCCCTGGCCTTTAGATGCTGTGCCAATTGCAGATTGCTAGCCTGGACTTTTTCCAAAATGAAGAAATGAAGGTCTCTTTCTCTCTGGCCAAAAGTTACAAAGTCTTCAACCATTGGAGCGTACTTCCTGCAAAAACGAATACAACTCCTGTGTTCTCCAATTCTTATCTTTACAGGTCTAGATGTACACCTGACGTAGGTTAAATCACAGCCACATTTTACAGCATAAATTACAGACTTTGTATTACAGTTGAAGAAATCTTTTATAGAGTACCTTTTTTGTTTAGAGGAGTCATAACAGAAATCTGTTCGTAATGATAACTCACACACAGAACACCCCCCAATGGGATAATTTCCAACCGGTCTGGCCTTGCCGTCCACTCCCCTCTGTATAGCTGAAGAAGATTTTAAACTACTCCTGACAAGTATGTCTTTCAGGTTTTTTGATCTGCGGTAGGAAAAGGGGTGGGGGGGAGACGGCAGGGCCTTCCTCTCCGCCAAGTGATTGGATTTTACAGTTCTGTTTTCACTTCATATTCTGTTGTTTGCCTGTAATGCGTTTTTTATCTTTGCTGTTTTGTCGCATATCTTTCAATAAAAAAATTAAAAAGAAAAAAGGGGGGGAGACGGCATCTAGAGATGTTAGATAAACAGGGGCCAGTGTTTTCTAATAATATCCCTCACTTGGACAGATCTCCCATCATACCTCACTGGAATAATCATTCTATTGGTTTGACCATGTCTTGCTTTTGGGAACCAGGATCTGTTAGTATGACTTGCTTTATGAAAAGCCTGTTGTAGAATTCTGGAGGAGTATCCCCTATCTCTAAACTGACTCATAAGCAGTCTGCCTTGCTTGACAAAGTCAGTGTACTGACTACAATTTCTTCTGAAACGCAACATCTGGGGAAAGGGTAAATTCTTTTTTAAATGCTGTGGACGGAAGCTGTCATTTACAAGAAAAGAACTGGCGTCTGTATGTTTTCTATAAGTATCTATTTGAAAGAACCAACAACATCCCTTTAACTTACTTCTAAATTTTGCATGGTAGAGAAGTGAATTTGAAGATGTAATCAGTTAAAAGCAAGGAAAATACATCAAGGTGTGACTGGTAGGGGCTTTTGCCTGGTTTTATTCATCATCTTAAACTGCCAACATTACTCCTTGCTAGGCTAGAAGGAGGGCCTAGCCATTATTGCTTCCTAGAATAAACCCACCACTTCATGACTACTGAACATGCCGGGGACCCCCAACTTCTGCCACAGACCCAGAGGAGTAGGGAATAACTTTCACAAACTTTGCAAGTACTGAATGGGGACTCCTGAGATTCCTGTTCCCATGGCGATCTCAGGCCAGTGCAGCCTCAGGGTCTGGCACAACAATGGCCTCTAGATGAGGTGGTTATATTCATCAATCTAATTTTTTTTGCTTTTCAAACATTCTTCAATTTATATCCCATTCTTTAAGTGTTCAGGATGGGATACATGCAACGTATGTATAAAGAATCCTATAAAAATAAATATTTTAAAGAGCCGGTATAATTGTTTGAAATTCCATGTTTTATTTATATAACCTGTTTGAGCTATATGATTTGATATTATTTGATTGATTTGATTTATACCCCGCCCTCCCCGCTGGATTGAATGAATGCATCAAAGGCTGGCAAGAGAGGACTTTTAGTTGTTTACAGTTGTGAATATTTGATTGCGAGTTGTTTTAAATTGCCTCACTTTCAATTTAAGAAATTTTCTAAGAGCAACTTGTTTTTAGTCTATTCTCTTTGTGATATTTGAAGCTTAGCTACTTCAGAAAGTTGATTGGTGTTGTGTCTTTAAGAGAGTTCACTTAAGTGGCTCTGAGTGTATTTGAGAGGAATCCTCTGCAGATTCAAACTGAATAATTCCTCTTTGTGTATGTTTCACTCGAGGCCTAAAGGTAAGACAAAACACCAGTCCTGTATCTTGACCCATAATGACAGACAAAACTAAAACCCACCTGTGGAATCATGGTTGTGCTTGAGTCTTATTCAACATACTGTGCTCAAACATCCTACAAATGGGAATCAGAATTTTTCAAGTTATATGCTTAGGACCAGGAT